GGCTTCTATCCCTGCACATTTGTGAAGGGATCTAAATTTTTATGCAAATCACCTCTTTTAAGTCAAAGCAGCTCTCAAGCTCTTTGATCTCTTCAGGCTGAATGTTTTCAGGAGTCTCTGCGAGCTGGAATTCTGTATCTTGTTGAATTTTTACATTTTTGCAGTGCAGGCGACATCGCCCTTGTGGATATGCAAGCTCTGCTTAGTTGTCCCCACTTCTGCTGCTGCTAGTGGGCGGTACCAAAGGTGGATCTCCTGCCATGAGCATGACCCTGCTTATTGGGCTAGACCCATGAATGGTCTCGCGTCTATGGCTATCCTGGAGTTTCCCGGCCTCTGTGTCATTCGATGACCGTAGTTCATATGCTCTTACCATTTGATGATTATTTGATAGTGACGTTAATAAGCCTATGTTGTTTGCGTAATAATTTTCTGCTTTAGTTAAGCAGAGTGGTTCCAGTGGACTATTGCGTCCCCCTTCAAGCTGGTTTGTGGACTGGACCATTATCCTGCCCACAACCCAGCCTACATGTGGGTTTACCCCCCACAGCTGGTTGTTATGTCAGAGCCAATCTTATTGTGTTCACATGTATATTACTTGTATACGAGATGGTTTTATGTCTTTTTTTTCTTTTCCTGGTCTCTCGTCTTGGGTATTTTTTGTTCTTACCAAATATTTTTCAGGGTTCACGGGGATCGTGATGGAGGCTATCTTCTTTTTCGGTTGCCATGTCACTGAATTGGTTATCCCTAAATGTACAGGGAATGAACTCCCCCCAAAAGAGGGTGAAGATATTCAAGTTCCTCCGGACTCGCCCTGTGGATATTGCTTGCCTGCAAGAAACTCATTTTTCTGCCACCTCCAGCCCGAAGTATTTCGATGCTCGCTATCCTCAGGTTTTTCAGGCTACTGGCCATACTAAACAAAGGGGAGTTTCTAATTGCTTTCCATAAAAAAAAAAAAAAATTTGTTTGTGTGAAGCGTATTGCTGATACAAATTGTAGGTATGTTTTATTACAGGGTACGATTCAGGATTTAGACGTTACACTTTTGACCTACTATACTCCCAATGTTAATCCTGGATCCTTCTTATTGCATTTCTGCTCCCTTCTGCCTACTCATCACCGGGGCACTCTTCTGGTGGCAGGGGATTTGAATCTAGTTCTGAATCCTACCCTTGATAAGTATCCCCCAGAGAATTGCAATCCTTCCGCTGCAGCCAAATCTTTCGCCCAAACTCTATGGACTCATGACTTGTGGCGTGAGCTCCACCCTGGGGCGAAAAACTACACTAATTATTCTTATCCCTCTCACTCCAGAATTGACCACGCTTGTGTGTTGTGTAAACATCTCCCCCTTGTGCGCTCCATTTCTATTTTCATTGTACTGTGGTCTGATCATGACCTCATTTTGGTGGTTTGCCGATCTCTCCTCTGTAAGCCCTCCTACTCCTTTGGATTATGAATGACTCCCTGCTCTTGCTGAAAGAGGTGGAGGTGGATCTTTTGCGTAAATCTCAAGAATATTTCCAGCCTAACTCAGGTTCTCTCTCTTCTGTGACATTGTGGGACGCTTACAAGGCTGTCCTCCAGGGCTATATTATTCAGGTCGCTTCAAGGCGTAGAAGGGAGAGGCAACATAAACAGCGTCAGGTTATATCACAGCTAGCTTCTGCGTCGTCTCAATTTAAGCAATCACAACTCCCTACAACCGTATGTTGTTGGATCAGGCCCGTCTGGAATTTGACCTCTTAACAGATGACAGAGTGCTTTTTGCGGTGGACGCGTTAGAAGTGGTACAGTAAAGCAAATAAACCAGACTCCATGTAAGCGCGTTGGATGCATTCCTATACACACAATCCTAAACCGATCTCCCTACGCACTCATCCTAATGATCCAACTAGTAATCCCACAGCGGTGTTGGAGGAGTTTTGGTATCGCCTTGCTAAACTTTACACACACCCCACTCAGGCTGAACCCCATGCAATCTCAGATTTTATTTTTTTTTTTTTGTCCCGACTGCCTTTGCCTACTTTGACTCAGGCCCATAGAGACTTGATGGACCATGATATTAAAATATCAGAAGTTTTGCATTGTATTGCTTATTTGAAGATGAGCAAACGCCCAGATGGGTATACAGCTTTGTACAAGAAATTGGCTGATGTTCTTGCCCCTCACCTCACAACCATGTTCAATGCAGTGAAGGGAGGTTCAGCTTTTCACCCGACTTGCTGACCACTAATGTGGTTATGATCACTTCTTGGGCAAATTATAGGCCAATTTTCTCATATCAATATGAAAATTCTTACTAAAATTGTACCTACTCGTTTGAATTCTGATCAAAAAAAAATTAGGTGGGCCAGGAGGAAAGTGGAGAGCAGGAGCTGTGAATACTGAGGTGGGGGGGGGGGGGGGGGAAGCACAGAGCAGCAACCATAAACTGAAACCATGGAAGTGGGGAGCACAGAGCAGGAGACATGAATGCAGACCATGGAGGTGGTGAAATTCTGGCTGAATAGTAGCCATAATGCACACTGAAGAGGGGGAGAAGAGAAAAGGGGCACATGCCTGGAGCAGGAGGTGAGATCTTCTACACAAAATGAGTGGATGGAGGGGGTTTGATCATAATAGCTTTGTTATTCCATAACTGTACATAATGCTATTATAATCTCGCCTGCTATATTCAACATAATCTAGCTGCGCAATCCCACCAATCAGCGGTCTGCATTCAATTGCTACCATACACAGGATCTGGCCACATTCAGTCACGTACTCCTCTCTGTACTCCTAGCACCAGCCTTGGAGGTCACAGGAGCTGTGACTACAGAGGAGATACCAGGTATAAATACACACTCAGAGTACTTGCCATCAGTGCACATTGAATAAACATTGGCATATTGTGTATTTCTGCATAGGAAAAACGCAAATTGTTGTCTTTATGTCCTTGCAGAGACCTATGTTAGAAAATGCATGTCTCTACCTATGGTAGGAACAAGCCCAAAGTATACATTGCAGGTCAAATCTGCACTGTTTTTTTTTTCCCCATCAATTCTAATGCCTTTATTGGGAAGAAGGCCCAACTGTTGCCCCAGTCTGCTACCTTATTTGTGAAATTTGTTCAAATTCTGCAAGACATTGTTCACCACATAGGAGCATAAATATCGTTGAAAAATGTGCAGATTTGACCTGCATAGAATATTGCTTGTTCACATTCTGAGCCAGAGGCATGCATTTTTCTCATTAGTTCTCTACAAGGACTAAGAAAACTATTTTTATGTGAGTTTGTCACACCAAAATGTTGGTGTGGAGTTTTTTTCCTCTGGGCATTAAAAAAAAACCCCAAAAAAAAAAAAAAAAAAAAAACGCAAGTTCAATTTTCACTTTAAAGGAGATACTTTTTTTAAAATACTTATTTTATTATTTTAAAGGCTACTTCTACAATCATGGTTATATTTACAGCTTGCTGATCGGATCCAATGTTTTGCAAGATGTAGATCTGAACATTTTTTCAGAGATCTCAAACTTTTTGCCAGGGGTTCCTCCAAGGTATAAAAAGGTTGAGAAACACCAACTTTTGTGCCCCTACTATATGGCAGACCAAAACAGAGGAATAACAAGTGGAACCACCGGTCACATAGCCTTCTGTATAAATTAATTCACAGCTGAAACTTTGTTGCTCTGGGTAACACTTCCTTCCGTTAATGTGGTACATAAAACAAAAACGCCCATCTAATACTTAATGGCCCTTCAATCTGTTTTAAATGTTTGCTTAAAAAAAATAAATGGTATGTGAAAACTAGATGTTTTTAAAACCTAGCGCTTAGTCACTTTAAGACCCAACATGATTCTCTCAACCCCCCCATTGTTCCATTGGAGTGACTTGTCTGCACAGTGAGCAGGCCTTCCATCTTAGATGTTTCTCACCAAGACGTGTGCCTAAGTAAGAGTTCCTTTATCTCCTTTTTCTGTAACTAAAATTTTGGATTACTTTACACATTTCTGTACTAGAGGCAATGTAACCAGGACAAAAGAGGTGAATCCCCCCAGAAAAGAGAAAGAATTAAAAAACATTTAGATTTTGACATTTGCACACTATCCAACACCAAAAATGTTTCGCTTGCCATACATTTTGAAGCGAATTCTTGCCCAAACATTTAGGTTTTAATTAGCATGGAGAATGGTTACAACCTCTGTCAGGTTCCTAAGGTGGTCTATTCTCAAACATAACACCTCCTGTGCATGAGTGTGATAGTACACATTGAACACAGTTTTTAGCCAACAAGATTTCTTGTCAGGATCATTTTTTTTGCACTTCTACCAAAACACTTTTAAAATGGTACATTTAAAAACTGGCAGAAAAAAAAAAAAAAAAAAAAAAAAAAAAAAAAAAAAAAACACACCAGGACAAACAGAGGCTGCTATTGCTTACAATGGAAATTGCTGCTTGCCTGGAACATCTTGCTAAACCTCTAATATTTTGAAGTCAGCGACTCGGTAAAAGCATGCAGTTAAGAATTATGATTTGCAACTTTCCAGCTCCACATAAGTGTTTAGAATCTGTTACTCAGTATTAATGCAATAGGGTCAGCATATTAAAAAAAAAAAAAAAAAAAAAAAGTTAGGACAGCAAAACCAGTATTTTTCATTTACAAGTTTTCTGTAAAAGAAGAGTCAAAATATTAACAGACCAGTTTGAGATCAAGTGAATGTAATGAGGTAAAAGCTTTGCTTTCTGAAACGCTTTATACACCCTTCTAGAAGTCCAGCTACCCCAGAAGAGTTTGAGGGTTAGCGACCACCCACATGAGCAAATCAAGAGGATAGTGTACATAGCAATAGCCTCACTCCTGCACAAGTCTCAGAACAAAAGTGTAATATAGCAATATCTACCACACGGATTAGACCTTTAACTACAAAATAATTTATTGAGTAGACATTACTTGTTTGACCTTTTATCTGTAACCAATATGTACAACACACAGCACTCCAACTTTCCAGTCTCAAGAGCTTTTTGCTCGTTTGCCTTTGGCCTTGCGGACCTCTTCTATTAGGTCTTTTAAATACTGGATTTCTTTTGCTAGAGAATCTGCTCTCTCTTTCAGTGAATCATTTTTCTGTTCCAGTTCTCGGCACTCAAGAGATATAATCTCTTGTTCTGCTCTCTTCTTCTGCCGGTAGCGAGTGGCTGCTGTTTTGTTCTGCTCCATTTTCTTCTGCTTCTTGTCTACTCTGGGCTGCCCTACAGTTTTCACCTTTGCCAAGACTTTATCCTGCGAGGGAAGATCATAAGGTTTGGGTCTCTCAGAAATGGGGGAGGCAGGAGAGGACTGGACACTACTAGGGTACTCTATAGTAGATGTAGGACTTTGCTGGGGAGACCACAGATATGATGGGCTCATATAAATCCCACTGTCATTATCTGAGGAATCCTTCTCAGACTTTATAAGTGGGCTCACACAGATACTGCTGTCATTATCTGAGGAGTCTTCCTTCTCATTTTTTTGAGTTTCAGGCATGTAGATTTTCTTATCTACCTCAGCAACATCTACCTCACTTCCTACATCCAAGATAAAGGAATAGTCAGAGCTACAGATATTGGACTCTGCTAAACTGGGACCCACTGGAGCCACTTGATCTGCCTCCAATGGACCTTCTAGGATAGGGGCAGGTGATGGCACATACTGGCCAAACACAGAGGGAACAGGTGGGTCCTCCAGATCACAAGAGTCATCCAACGTGGCTATGAGCTCATCTGGTGAGATAGTGGATTCTAGATCTTCCATCCCCAGCAGGGAATCAAAATCAAACTCCTTCAAGTCCATATTTTCCACCATCCAATCCATGCCAGAGAAGGCGTCCCCTGTTAAGAAATCATACATTTAGAATTACAAATTAAAACCTATATTTCAAAGTTCACTATTCAAAAGGCATCTTAAGTCAAAACACTGGTTTTTCAACAAGATGCTAATAAAAACATGAAAATGTACTCTCAGGTTGAAACTATTCGAAATTACAAATTCTTATGTGTTGGGGGGAGTGATTCGATGCTTGCTCTGTCTCTCCCACTTTGTGACAGTTTGCATCAATCCTGAAAGCACTTTATTCAGCCATCCCTTGGTAAAGATTTACCTGAATCTATAATTGTTTAATTATAAAAAAGGACAAGTTGAATGAAGCCAGTGTCATGGGAAACTGGAAAATTACCAGCTCCATGATATAGTTGTCAATGGACTTTTCTCCTTACCAGCACTTTCAAAGAGCCAGATACCCTGATGTCAATATTTCTCAAACTTCTCAACTTATCCTATGCAATGCTATATACTCAATTTCAGAGTTGCAGTCAAAAGGAGAAACTTTAATTTCTTAAAGCAGCAGCATTTATCAATGGCACCTAAACGTGGTGCGATTTTGCCTCAATTGTCATGCGGCACACTGCAATGCAAAACTAGCCACCCCAAAAGAGCAGATTTGGATGACAAGTTTTGCGCATTGCGATTCAAAACCATGCTTCAAAATTAACGGCACCTGAACATGCATGGTGCGTTTTATTATTGCAGTGCAATTTGTGATTGTGAGCAGAAATGCAGCAATTCTGCCTGGGATCACAAAATGCTAGATGCGAATAGGGTCTTGTAAATATACCTTGGCATGCAAGGTGTTAGGGACCATGTTAAAGCATAACATTCCAGATGCTCTTCTTACAGGATCGGTCGGTCCACTGCCTGAAGAAACCTTGGGAGGCAGACCATGCTTGCCGACAGGACTTTTAGAGACCCTTATTTCAAAATTATACCTGCAAGCCCCTGCCATTGGGTAACAGGCAGTCAAGCCACATGGTGTTCTCCAGTGTTATCCTGCATTGACTAAACTGGGGAAAAAAAAAAAAAAAAAAAAAAAAAAACCCCTTGGTGCTTACAGACCTGCGATCATTGAAATCCACAGAAGAAAAAAAACTAAAAGGTAATGACATTATGGAAAACTCATGGGACATGTGTCCATATAAAATTAGTCTGACGTGGATGTTTTGGTCTAGCTCCAGGAAGGGGAGAGGAGATGACAGAAGAGCAAATTGGATGAGGCAAGAAAAAACTGAGATGGTGAACTCTGCAGCTCCTCAGTGAAGGTAGATCAGGGAGAGTTCCAGAGTGACATGCAGGAGAAATAAAGTAACCAAGGGCACAGGAGGTATTAAGTAAATTTTATTGAAACAATTACCCACACTTGCATGTAAACAAAACTGCAGTTTGGACATGGAGGGAAAGATCAAACTGTGCAGATTAGATGTTAGAGCCACTTCGAGCATGGAAAGCCAGTCCTACCAGATGGCCCACCCACTGTAACCCTCACTGCTTGCACTGGATGTACAGGATGGCCATGAATGCCACTGTTTGAGCCATCATCCGGCAGGACAGGCTATCCATGCTCGCCCACGCACAGTGGTTTTACCATTTAACCTGTGCAGTGTGATCTTTCCTGCCATGTCCAAGCTGTACTTTTGTTTATATGCAATTGAGGATATTTGTTTTATTAAAATGTTACCATTTACCTAATAACTCCTGTGCCCTTAGCTACTTTGTTTCTCCGGCTTGTCCCCAAGTAATTTTCTCCTGCAACCACTCAAAATAGATCTTAATGACAGATGTGTTCCTACTTGGCACTCAATTTTTGTAGTATACAAATTAGCGAGATGGTATTCTAACCTAAACCCAGTGTAGTACCTAACCTAAATGCATCAAATAAGTGCAGTGCAAGTATTTATACATAGCCCAAGACCATCTGTAGAAGCACTCTTACCCTGAAAACTGCCAAAGGGTTCAGCCAAAGGCAGCAGGTTAAAGACGCCATTCTTAGCCTTTTCGCTGGAGAACCCATGCGATGGGAGGTACCCGGACACCTCGATGCAGTCATCCAAGAGACCCAAACCTTCCTCAGCCGTCAAAGACGAATTGTTGAAGGGGGAAAAAAAGTCCCCCAACAGCAGCTTGTCGCTCAACAGGTTCATCTTTTACAAATATTAGGGCTTTCACGTAGAAGCTGTTTTCGAAGCTTTCTTCCTCGTATACAGCAAAGCTGCTGCGGGATGCCTTGAGGAGCCTGGGAGAGAAAAAAAAAAAAACATTCCCAATTATTTAAAGTGTAAGAATTAGTGGTCTAGTGTATTTAGGGCCAATTATTATTATACAGTGTATATATAGCACCAAAAGGTTTGCTCAGCGCTGCACATTAGTGCACACTAGGTACAGTGACAGGTGTTTTAACTGCACGGCAGAATGCAAGTCCCCACTAGGACACACAGAAAACAATTCTATTCAGTGTCGTATTTACATTAGAACACAGCCTGCAGCTGCACTGCAGAGATATGCAATAAAATGCATACATCCTGCATTTTACTGAATTGCACTGTACAGCAGCACATCGTGCTGCTTTTCTGTACTTATAATAAAGTTTGGGGTTTTTGTTCAAAAAGGGGAAGCTGTGTGATGTGCTGAATTGCGCACCACACCATTCCTACCACAGCTGGCATGGACAACTGCAGAACAGGTAAACAGCTTTGATTTACTGTCCGTTAAATGTGAATGGGCCCTTAAAGAATTCTTTATTGGTTTTGTGAGTATTTGCAAGCCCTCCACCAGCTTACCTAGACAACCATTGTACTTTATACAGTTATTCACTAACATTTTCATTGCAGAGACAGACTCTAGGGGGAAATTCGATCAAAGAATCAGGAGCAGCTGTGCAATCAGCTGCTAGCCCCATCTTTTTCAATTAAGCATTGAAAACATTCGCTAGAAGCCAATTGGCTGCCAAGCACAACTCCTGTAGACTGACTGCTCCAATAATTCCTGTCTTTTCTACAGCAAAAACCTGCACCTTTTCACATTTGTTTTCGAAAGGGTAAGGTTCCACTTTGGCTGAACAGCAGCCTTTAATCTCAGCATCCACTGAATTAGGCCTGGTACACACGGGCCGAATACCAGACAATTCAACAGAAACCAGTCGACATTCAGCTCACGCGTACAGCATACAAGGTGGTCACTGCCCCGGTCTATAACTGGCTTTTGCCGCAAGGAACATGGACAGGAATCACATATCAAGCAGCCTAACTTCTACAGCTGTCAACAGCAGCCTGTCTAATTTCTGTCAAATGGGCATGCTGAAAAAACAGCATCTGCTCAGCACTTGCAGCCAATGGCTGCGAGTGCTGACTGCTGTGTTCTAGTGGGAGGGTTTAAGAGCATGTTTGTTGCCGCAACGCAACCCTGCTGTAGCAGAGGGTGATATTTATGCATCAACCTGTGACTTATCAGTCAGCATCACATTCGGGACATTTGAGGTGCACACCTAGGCTAAGAATACATGAGCGATTCTTTATCAACGTACTCTGGGCAGTGATTTGGAAATGGTTTAAAATGCATTCAGTGTCCGAGAGGTGTTCTAAATACATTATGCTCAGAAAAAGCCATTACATAAACGGCACTCAAATGCTTCTTTATCCACTTTCAAACGAGATGCTAATTAACTGCCTGGCAACAGATTCCATCGTTTACAGAGGCATTTGTTGTGATTGTTATATATAGATTGTATAGCGAGCGCTACCTAGATGTACCGTATTCAAATAAAATGCAAAAGCCGCTAGAACACCAAAAAGGTAACCAACAGACCTTTCCAAAAGACTAGAGATAAAAAGGTGCAGCACTAAAGATTATGGTGCAAAAAACCACTGAATGGCCATTTTTGAATATAAATAGCCCCAAACAGATGTCCTGCTGTAAAAGCCTTACACCCTATAAAGACGTGCTTAGCACGAAACGCGTCAGAGGGGCTACAGCATCTGGACATCTAGCCACCACTGATGGCCATCCTAAAATCTTTTTGGTCAGTATTGTTTGTTTTATATCACTTTGAATTAAAGTTCACCAAAGCAATATTACACTATGTGGCGTCCCTTATTGGGAGCGCCACCTTCCGCAGTGCCTGCTTTAAAGGGGGACCCCGGAAGTCTGTGATTGCTTGATGAATCTTGGAATCCCATCATTACGAGGAAGCAGAGGACGATGTGGAGACGATGTGGAGTGCGGCCTGACCAGAATACTGATGACCTAGGGGTCTGATAAGAAAGAAAACTTCTCTCATGCGTATTTAATACGCATTTCTGGTGAGTGTGCATTCTATTTATCTAACAGTCTTCACCTCTGGATCGTATACTATCACCACAGACAGGATTCTGCAAGATTCATACAACATATACCTTGTGACCTGGACGTTTCCTTTATTGTGATTATCAATTGATTTGCACTTTGTGCCTTTGATAACAGTTTGGGATATTGCTCATAACATTTCAGTGGTTTTTTGCACCATAATCTTTAGCGCTGCACCATTTTATCTCTCTATTTGTTGTGATTGGAAGCGGTGAAGTAGCCGACAGCCAAACACTTTAGCAAGCTTCCTCATGATTGCTTCTCATTTTCTTGCATGCATGCTGCCCCGTTGCATTTCTGAAAGGAGCATAACCATTGACTTCAGTAAGCACCGGTCAGGAGCATGTGTTCTATTGGTGTTTCTTTTCAGCGGCAGAGGAGAGATGTACGATCAGCTTGTGATCTTACACTGTCTTGTATGGCTTCAATGTTACAAAATTCAAGCCATGGGGTGGCCCAGATTGAAAAAATTATATTCGAAAAGATGCAGCTGCCATTGCTTCTTGAATACAATTGCTGCCAATGGAGATCCCTCCATTCACAATAGATAGCATGGTTGAAGGAATCTATTAGATTTTACTTTATCAGTCCACAGCCTGTCTTACAGATCTGACCAGCATGGAATACCAACAAGTGTGTTCTGCCTAATCTGTTTGAGCAATGCTGTGGATTCCAGCATCCTGTAGAGTCATGCACCTTCCTCATGACCACTTCCCCTCACTTCCACAGCACTTAGTCAAGAGCAGCTACAAAACATTTCACAATCCCACTGTCTGGTTTGCTCCCCGCCCTAAACATCTTCACCATTTTATCAGACCGGTTAACATTCTATCTCACAAATTATCAGTTTAAAATCCTCCATCCAATGTGTTAGCTACCCCAACATTTTGTACCAAAGAATACCAAAGAACTTAACAATGAATTGTTACTAGATTGGTTCGAATCCCAACCCTGGCACCACCTGCCTGGAGTTTGCATGTTCTTCCTGTTCCTGTGTGGGTTTCCTCTGGGTACTCCGGTTTCCTCCACACTCCAACAACATGCTGGTAGGTTAACTGGATCCTGTCAAAAATCGGCCCTAGTATGTGTATGTATGAATGGAAGTTAGGGACCTTAGATTGTATGCCCCTTCAGGATTAGGGACTGATGTGAATGTAAAATATAATATATATATATATATATATATATACACTATATATATATATGTGCACTGTGTAAATTGATGGCGCTATATAAGTACCTGAAATAAAATACTAACTTGAGACGCTCAGGAGCATTGAAAAGCCGACAGCTGTTACAGTAGAGCCAATAGACAGCTACAGCGTCCACAATGCTACGTCCAGGCATGCCAGACTGCTGTTTTAAGGGCCCCAGACAGCCACCTTCCTTCTCTCTAGCCTCTAGGCCCCATCCACAGGCCATACTGCCAACTTGTGATGCGGAGGATTGTTTCATCAGAAGTGCCTGACCTGCAGGTTAGCACATGATCAGGAAGGGATGTGTTGTCTCCAGTACACCTGGACGAAAGGCACTTCCTGCTTTACTGGGCCACAGCCACATCTATCAGATGTGATAGAAGCACAGCCCTACTCCCTTCTATGTGGCATCATCAGCCCTATGACATTTGCCACTTTGCTGCAACAATGTTTAAGGGGTCACCAGGCCGCCACTGCTGGCATTTTGAGAGGCAGCTGAGACATGTTACAAACGGCACTTCAATCTGGACTTGCTGCACAATGCCAATGTGAAAGAGGCCTTAGAGTCCACTCACCTTGTTACCCAGCCCCAATGTTACCCTATATATCGACAAGCCAACCTTTCCCAGAAACACAAGGACCATGTCCCTACTGTTTCACATGCTGTGTTTATTTGCACTTTGAGAAAAAGAAAAAAAAAAAAAAAAAGGCCATTTTGCATTATTGCACAGCATGTCGTGCCACACTACATCACAACACAGCTTTACACACTTTGTGGCACATTAAATGGCTATGTTTGGGGTGCCATGAACCAGCTCCCGTCGGAGGTATGCGGCCTGTTAGCAGGTGGGCTTTAAGGCTGGGCGGTCCCTATGGACCATTTTCCTGCACTGAGAGAGTGCGCCCAGCATGGTTACTAGGTACCAGAAAGCTCCCGATGCATACTTGTGATTGGGAGCTTTCTGATCATGTGAGTGCCAATCACAGCTGTCACATAATCAGAACACCTGCCTCCCGGAATTTGGAGCCTCTTAAATGGCTGCAGAAAGAAGTTGATACCTCAGACGCAACTTGTGTTCTCAAAACGCACAGATGTAAATGCAGCGTTAGGCTGGCCATACACTATACAAAATTCCTGCCCAAATTCCTTTAGATTTACCTTCAACTTTGTAGTGCAAGAGCCCACCCTAACTGGATACAATTGAAAGTGTTAGGTTTGACCTCATCTGGTTTTTGGTAAATCTGAACCAAAAATCTCAAGAAAATTGTATAGTGTATGGCCAGCCTAAGGCTGCATCCACACCTTTGCCTTCTGGAAGCGTGCGCAGAAACATGCATTTCCACCCACATTCCCAGAAACACAAGGACCAAAATGCGCATCACGCTTGGGGTGGTATTAGAAAATAATGGCACCGCAGACCTGTGTTGTCACTCCAAAAAAACACACATTACCAAAAAGGCACGAGGCTCACTGCTGAAGAGGTGCAGGAGCTACATTGGTACGTTTGTGGCACACAAGGCAGCCCATTCCAATGAATGTTCCTATGATATACACGTTATTATAGGTACTTATATAGTGCTGTCAATTTACACAGCGCTTTATATAT